GTAGGTTTGCATATGTAGCTCTAGGTTGGATATAGCAGGAGCTGCTTGTTGCAAAAACCTCTTACTGAGTCTTTTAATGCACATGCAGCGGATGCTCTGATGCATGAGACTGTGTAGTCATTGTCCAGTCTGCCACCTGACCCTTGTTTGCTTTCTCTCTATCCATCAAAAAAACCTAACTGACTCCTGAATTTCTCTGGGCCAGCTGTCAGGACTTGTTCTCCATTACAGTATCCTACAATATAGTCAAATGCTAATGCCATAGATTTCAGAACTGCTGTTGTATCACAGTGAACCTCCTGAAGTGAGTGCAATAAAGAATTGCATTCGCTTCACTCTAGATGCTTTGCATTTCTGGATGTAATAACTCCCTAAGAATTCTTATGGAACCACACCTGGGCTTAAAAAATGAATGTACTGAGCTATAAATTAATGTGGACATTGTTTGAAGGCTTCACTAATTCTGAAATTCTGTGTAGTACTTTAATCTCACTTTGTTACAGTTTTTTATTCATTTAATCACATTTTCTCAATTCTTTTTAGCGTAAAAGATTTGAACAAATTTAAACAATGTGGCTAGCATCTGTCATGTAGAGTTTATTCTCTGTTGCTTCCCCAAGGCAAGAAGTGTGTGAAGGAAGAACAACTCCATAGTTGGAGTTGTTCATAGTCCATACTGTTCTGTTAAACCTCTTCTTATTAATGAGAAAATGAGAGTTATTTGATTGCTAATAGAAATCAGAAGCAAATCAGCTCTTTTGTTTTCTCAGGGAATGTAGATGCGCAGCTTCTTTAGATCACTCCTCCCAATTTGTTCCCTGAATTGAACTAATCAGGGAGAACATTTGAGAGGGTGGGTATTGTGAACAGGTGAACATCTCTCTTCCTGTGTGATCCTTCTAAAATGCATTGAGTATGTGAGTAGTCTGCTTGGCAGGTGGACGACATACTGTATTTTTGTGACAGTCATGAGATCACTTCATCTTGGTTTGTATAACATCAGAATGCTGAAGTGGTTTTTTCCATAGAGGTGTAGCTGCATACTCTTCTAAATGTGTTTGCTAAGTTAATGGGCCTAGGTAGATTTTTCAGTAGATTTAATGATGCGGGAACTACATAGGAGGTACTACTTTTGGAGCAACCTATTTATTCAAGGAAGGTTTGGATGTTGTGTTGAGGGATATGGTTTAGTGAGAACTGTTGATGATAGGTGGATGGTTGGACTGGATGATCTTGTAGGTCTTTTCCAACCTTGGTGTTTCTGTGATTGTGTGATTATTTCTGTGGGAAGTACAACAGCTACAAAGAACACAAAAACACCATTGGATGGAGCACATTGCTGGCTACAGCACACTATTTTCCAACATAATCACCACCATTAGCTGTGCGTTTTCACCTACTATGAACCAGAGCCTGCACACCACGCTTGTAAAAAATCTGCACCAGTAGAGGTGACCCACTGTTGCCAATACTGAAATGAAGCTCCCACCCCTCACTGTGCTCGCATCCACTGCTTGGTCTCCATACGTGTTCAGTGTCAATGAATAGCAGTGGGTGTTGTCTTTTCCACATGCAGGAACTCAATTCCACACCTTTGCTTCGAACGCACTTCCATGTCAGGCTCTGCTCTGTCAGGCTGACCCTGTGCTGCCCAAATTCTGCTGCACCACCACCGTCTGCTTCTGATGACATGGGCCAACGTAATAAAACAGGAGGCATTATTTTCAGAGCAGCCCTTATAAATTTCAGAAATGCAGCCCAGTCTTGTCAGAGCCAGCACTGGTGTAAATGTGCTCCTTTGTATACAACTAGATGAGCTTTGTGGTAGTCGACAGCAGAGAGTGTCACATCCCAGATGGCTTTGTTGTAGGTTATCAAAAAACACAAGCAATGAAGATTAATAATACTTCTTCTGTTTATTACAGTACTTGGGAAGATAAAATCTAGGAGGGGAAATGAAGGCAACTCTTCTACCGTGGACTCTATTTCCTCCAGTATTGGGTCCCGATCTTGGTGCTGGTGCTTAACTGCAGGCATTGGTGGTACTAGATCAAAGGTCTTTTTTGAGGGAGCTCTTAGTTAAAGCTAGTCGACTGAACAGGCCTAGAAAACTGCTGATATCATTAGAAACTTTACTGGCTCATCCTAAATGTCATTGGAAGTGCGACCTGAAAATGGTGAGGAATGGAAGTAAAGGGCCTCCTTTGAAGGCTCTGATATTTTCAAATGATTCTCCTTTTCAAAAATTAAAAAAATGGCAAAGCTTTGTACTAACTTTAAGACTAAGATTTTTGTAGTTCTGCAAACACAGAATTGTTGAAGCTTAGTCTCCTGAATTCCTTGAAATAAATATGAAATCCCTTGAGGAAACTTAATATAGGCAGAGGTTAGGTATTCTGTTTTAAGTAATGAATGAGTAGTGAGTGAGATGAGAACATTAATTTCTGGGAAGGGAAGCTTTTAATAGAATTACTGAGTAAATTCCACATGGAATGAACAGAGCTCCACTCACCAATTGGAATCTATAAAGGCAAGGGAAGGCTGTTATATTGGAGGGAAGAGGAAGTATCCTGCCTAGCATTAAACCTTTTGCTGAAAGGACTATAAATATTGTGTTGCTTATATCAGCTAAATCGTTTTATAGTTTCATGAGGAATCAAAACCAAATCACTGTAACATTAATCCTGCATACTGGCTTACTGATAGATGTTCAATACTAAGCAGCATATTATGGAATCAGAACTTGGCAGGCTTAATTGTATACTTAAGAGTCTAACTCACAGTTTGTTCCTTCTGGGATGGAGGCAGTTTGGAATTAAAGAGTGAATTATTATAGTGAATCCATTAAATCAATGGATTCACTATAATGTTGTAATTATTTTGTAATTAATTCAGCGATGTTTATGCAGGGTCTTTTCTACAGTCTTTTCATTGAGAAGAACCCTGTCATTTGGGAAGAAAGTGGAAATCTTTAGGAAAAATATCATTGTACCATGTCTCTTGTTCAAGACACAGTCCAAGATCTCTCAAACAAAATAATATCATTTAATTAAACAAGCGAGACCGTGCCACTAGGTACCCAAACCAGCAGCTTTCCCAGTCTGTTGTTTTTTCATAGCTGCTAATTGCAGCGCTCAAGAGATTCTTGTTTTGTTCCAAGTGGGAAATTGATCCTTGGAGAAAGCAGCAGCTTGGTATACTTTGACAAAATTTTGCTTTCCAGTTTGGGAGAAATTCAGCACTAGTGAGGCCGCACCTCAAGTACTGTGTCCAGTTTTGGGCCTCTCACTGCAAGAAAGATATTGAGGCCCTGGAACGTGTTCAAAGGAGGGCAACAAAGCTGGTGAGGGGTCTGGAACACAGGCCATATGAGGAGAGGCTGAAGGAGCTGGCAATGTTCTGCCTGGAGAAGAGGAGGCTCAGGGGAGACCTCATTGCTCTCTATAACTTCCTGAAGGGAGGTTGTAGTGAGCTGGGGGTCGGCCTCTTCTCTCGTGTCATCAGTGATAGGACCAGAGGAAATGGTTTCAAGCTACGGCAGGGGAGATTCAGGCTGGACATGAGGAAGTATTACTTTTCAGAAAGGGTGGTCAGGCACTGGAATGGATGCCCAGGGAGGTGGTGGAGTCACCGAGCCTGGGGGTGTTCAAGGAAAGGCTGGATGTTGCGTTGAGGGACATGGTTTAGTGGGAGCTGTTGGGAATAGGTGAACGGTTGGACTGGATGATCCTTTAGGTCTTTTCCAACCTTGGTGATTCTATGATTCTATAATTCTATGAAATTAACAGTATAGAAATAAGAGATTGTATGATATTTCATGTGCTCTGACAGAAACAGTGGTCATCCAGCTTCCTTTTAAGAAGCAACCCTTATTGACGTTGTCAGATTGCAAAGTTGAGGATCTGTAAAAAGGTCACTGGTCCCCACTGCAATTAGGGGAGTCATGTACTTGTTTCTTCTCTGCTATTGCTTTACAGTTTCTGCTAACACAATCGTAATTATGATAGAGAAACCACGACTGGGTGTGAAAGAGGGTAAGTTTGGGAGCAAGAGAAAATGCAATGAGAGATTTAGCCTTTGACATGAAGTATTTGGAAATGCTGGTTTGGATGTTATGTTTCCAATTCTTAGCTTCACCTGTGTAGTCCTTCTGTCGAATTCACTGAGAGTTCTCAACACAGAGCATGTTTAAAAATCCCATCTGATAGTCCCTGCTTGTTCACATATCAAAGATAAAGGGCTCAGAAGCTCCTGAAGATTTCACATACACAGTGCAAGCCCAGTGGTTAAAGATTAGAGGCCACAGCGGAAACATGAATAAGGAGACTGAGTAAAAGCAGAATGGAAAGCTCTGGAACTTGCCCTCGTGGCTGATGGCAGAACATCTTCCTCTTAAAATCTGGATGTTCACATTGTGGCTTTGAAATTAAATAATTTTATTTCTTCTTGTTGCTTGGTGTTGCCATAGGAGGCAGGTATTCACTGGTGAGAACTATTCAACAAAGCAATCTCAAGTCTTGCTTTAAAGATTCAACATGAATTTGATTGTCCTCAGGCTTTCTGTGGTGGTCTGATAGCAAAGAGAAATGGGGCCAATGGCAGGACCCCATCAACAAGGCAGCTGCCTTTCTACCTGCCTGTACACAGCACCCAAGAGCAGCTATTCTCATAGGAAGTGCAAATTGGAATCACAGGTAGAGAGGAATTTTGAACAGGGATCTGATTTTACTAAAAACTCTCAGGAGCCTGTCATATCAGCTGAGGCAGCAGAATTGGATAATGGTTTGTTCAAGTATTACAACATTCCTTACTGTTGTTTCTCTGTGTCTGTGGATGTTCGTATGCGTTATGTATGGGTTTGTTACCAATGAACTGCTCCTTATTTGTCTCTATTTTCTTAGTTGTTACCATGTTATTTGGGCTACTCATTTTATGAGAGCTTAAATTGGCTCACTGTGTATTACTGCTCCTACAGTAAGATTGGTCACTTTATCTTCTAGGTTACATGTCGTTAAGAGTCCTTGGTGCTGCAACAATGAGGATCAGAATCCTGTTATGGTAAGTGCTATACAGATAATGTAGTGATGCATTACAAGTATATGAATGAAATAACATAATTGCAGAGTATGTTTTAGATTGGAACGTACCTTAAACTTACCACCAGCCCCACTCCCTGCTGTGGGCTGGTTGCTCCCTCCAGGTCAGGCTGCCCAGGGTCCCATCCAGCCTGGTTGTGGGCACCTCCAGGGATGGGTCTCGCACAGCTTCCTGGACAACCTGTGCTAGGGTCTTACAGCCCTCTGAGTAAAATTTCCCTCTGACATCTGACCTTAATCTCCCCTTTTTTAGTTTAAAGCTTCACACTTGTCCTATCACTATCAGACTGTAAAAAGTCAGTCTCTCTTCTGTTTATAAGTTTCCTTTAAGTACTGTAAGGCCACAATGAGGTCTCCCCAGAACTTTCTCCAGACTGAACAACTCCAACTCTCAGTCTGTCTCTATTGGAGAGGTACTTGTTCTCATGGCACTCTGGACCTGCTCCAACAGTTGCATATCTTTCTTTTACTGGGGGCCCCAGCCCTGGACACATTACTGCAGATGGGGCCTCACAAGGGAAGACCAGAGGGGTGCAATCCCCTCCCTTTCCTGCTTCCACTCCTCTGTTGATGCGGCTCAGAATACAGCTGGCCTTCCAGGCTATGAGCACACATTGAATAAGTTATTTCAAGGGTTTTGGGCATCAGGGCTAGGTACAATCAATTTGTAAGTTTCGCTTCAGTGTTTCAAAAGGATTTGGAAGAAAGAAGAGGGTCATTATCGATTCTGTCAAGGAGGTCTTCCTACTTACAAGGACAAGTGTTTAAGACAGTTGGTTTCTTGGCCTTACCTGCAGGGTGTAGATAACAGGAACTCTTACAGAATTACTCTTCTATGGGAGGATCTAAGCAAGCAGCAAGCGATACAGTTTCTGTTAGCCCCTCTCCCTCACCCTGTCTTCAAAGCCTGTAAGCTAACAGAATAGTTAGTAGCTTTTTAATTCTATCACTTCTACGCATCACAAATGGCACCAGGCAAACAGGAAGTTGTTACTTAAAATTCAAGCCAACATTGTGTCAAGTGTATGGATTGGTGGCCAGAAATCAAACAGGAATGCCTGTGTCTCATACCTGATTAACCACAGAAGCTAGAAAAGATGTAGCACAACTCAGAGACGTGCATGTTCCAAATATGTGTTTAAAGGCTGTGTAGAGTACAGTAAGCCATTGAGTCCCTTCTTTAGAGGGCAAGAGAATTGCCTGGGAGAGAGTAAGGGAAGTTCACGGAGTACTCATTTTAGAACTGTTCCCCTGCCCATCGTTCCAAGTCATTTAGATGAAACTTGGTACACAATAAAGAGACTTAGGAGCAAAAATAAAAAAGGAAGATCCTCACAATGAGTTGCTCAAGTTAGATGGTTTTCATATTGTACTGCTAGTTACAAAATGATAGACCTTTATGAAATTTGCATCTTTATAATAACTTTCATAGTCATTGTAATAACAGTAGACTTCTACACTGGTGCTTAATGGGTTTGTTTGCAAACAAACAGCACAAAGTGAGATTCAGTGGGTATTCAGCCACTTTTTGGGAATAGTGATTGTAATTAGTGCTGTTCTGTAGGCCAAATAATAGGCATCAAGCTTTATGAGACAGTAAAGGCACAGATGTCAGTGAGGTACATGCTGAGGCAATGCAACAGCTCAAGAACAATGATGTAAGATCCTGCTAGATGAGCGTTTTCTCAGGATTCTTTCTGCAAACCACTGATGGCTTTCATAAACAGCTTTCTCCTCCTCCAGGTACTAGTGCTCATCTCTCTCTTTCTTTCTTGATAGCTGCTATCTGATTCAAAACGTTTCATGGTGGCACTGAAGCCTGGTGTGACAGAACTCTAGAAATGTATTCCTGGAGCGGGTGGTGATGATCTTCATATCCTTTGGTGTAGAGATAGTTGTATTGCATCAGTGGTTTTCAACTTGTAGTATGGGACAATGCAGGGTTTGGAATGACTTCAAAAGGATGAGTAAAAGGTCATTAATAAAATCAGTCCTTTTAATAAATTTGCTCTGTAATGATCTGTATCTTCCCTGGAAAATACTTATAGACCTACAATTGGAGGAAGTATGAAAAATATCTTAGGAATCCTTTTTAGATCTTCATTTCAATAATGGTTTGATTCAGAGAACTGTCATGGAAGCTGCAGAGTTAAAACTTCAATAACTCTTATGTTTTTGTAGCTACTGATGAAAAATATGACTCAATATTTTGACATTTTGAGAATAAGTGGTTCATCAGGGACAAGAAGACTGTTTTTGAAATATGTTTTAGAAAGCTTCATCAATAATCGGTGGTTATTTCTGAGCCTTCCATGCTAACATTGTGTAAACAAAGCTTAAGTCTTAAGAAAATTATGGAAATGCCAAGGGTTACCTGGTAAACAAGTGGTGTAATTGGTCATTCTCTCTGCTTTATAGACACGGTATCTTTTTGTCATTTCAATAACAAATGATCTCTGGGCTTATATCAGAGTAAATCTTATTGACCTTTTGCAGGTACTTATGCTTTTATTGAAAAACAGTAACTTCATCTTCATTAAAATCACTTTTAGACCTGTCTGGGGCCAGGTACTGAGCAGAGTAATTCCATAAGCTGTCATACTTCCATACTGTCATAGGTATAAAGAAGACACATAGCAATTTTTTTTACTTGAAGATATGTAGCATTAATCAGTGCAGTCTGTAATGGGGAACTGAGAAACACCTCTAGATAGATGTTTGCCCTGTGCACATCTGTGAATGTGTCACATAGCTTAACTGCAGCTAGCTTATATTAAGTGTTTCACATCTCCAACTGAAATTTTCTTCTGTCTGTGGCGGTTCAGCTCTGCTCCTTAATGTGATTCTTTGGAAAGAATGTGGGGACCTCAACCCAACACACTGCCCTTGGCCTCAGTTATGTATGCATTTGTCATTTTTCTGCTGGACAGCAGTAATTCTGATCTCACTATGAGACATTTAAAGAATCCATCATCATTTCTTCCTATGAGCACATCACACCAGGTCCAGGGTTTGCCAGGTCTTCCAATAGGGAAAGGGAAATACTGGCAAAACACTGTAGATTTAAGAGCAGAGATGATCCTGCAGTGACCTGCTGCTTAAGAGGCACTTATATTTTGCATTTCTGTCTCCTTTTGGTACTGTGAAAGGGTGTCTGATTTAGAAAAAAATGAGAGCAGGAATCACAAGAATCAAAATTGTTTAATTTGAGAAGCAAAGCATATGGCCCAAGTACAAGAAGTGCTATATGCAACCAAACTTTATTCTGCTTTATAAGCACTCCTAAATGTTAATGACTTTTCAGAAAATGAAAGAATAAAATCAGAATACATAAAACTTGAGCTGAATGCTGGTGAACAAATCAAGTAAAAGAAGTCCTCCTAGTGCAGTAAACCATATTGTAATTGACTTGCTTTACAGTTCTCACAGTTATCCTCAAATGCAATGATGTTTTTCCTTTCATAATGCTAGAGATGAACTAAACCCATGACACTGAGCATATACTTGGTGGAATGTCATATCCTGCAGCGCTAGATGAAGTGCTGGAGTTGAGCATCACTGAGTGGAGCTAAGCACAGATGGACAGGTGACAGAGTGTCTCGGCTCCAACAAATTAGTTCATGTCACTGAGTGAGTGCAATTTGAGGAAAAATTTCCAATCCTCTCCATTTACAACACTTGGATCACATCACAAAGCATCTTTGCTTCCCACCTCCTCATAACTTTGAATTCTAATTATCAACAAATCTCTTACAGGAGTCCTGCAACTGTGCGGCTACTGGGAAGTGTCAATGCAGAAGGATTTTTTTCTGGATTGATTTTTCTTATAGATGTGTCTAACCAAGCAAAGTGACTGAAGTTGAACTTCTTCATCTTGATTCAGTGGCCATTGTTGTGATTCACAGAAGTGCGAGAGTTTAAGTTTGTCTTGTTCAAACGCAGTTTTTATTCCAGAAATGTTGACACAACTCCCTTAGCCTGTCTGGCAACAGGGACAGAGCACAAATGATGAGCAGTTACTGCTTTAAAGAGACTCACACACCCAGCTAAGGAAAAACAATCGATGATCATTTAGATGGTTCTGACTGAACAAAATGTCTTTAAATTAAGTCTCTCTACTTCTCAGATGAGGTTAGAAAATAAGAACACTCCGGCTTCCTAATTTAGCTACTAAAAAGATAGCAGATACAGCAATTTTATTGGGTTGTTTGGCTGGATGGCAAGCCTTACACTGCTATGAGTGCTCTTAGGGAAGGGATTTTTCCTTAGGGTATCTGTCATAGTTTAGAAACTACATTTAGGGGAACCTAAGGACCAATGAGAAAAATAAAATACTTGATTGGTGTCCTTGTTATTAAGCAGTAAGTTAGGCAGGTATTTCTGAGACTGTTGTATTAGTTAAGGAATTGTGCCGCCTTCTTCCCGTCACTCTGTGTTCTCACACACACAAGTTGTAGTGACTGCTGGGCTCCAGCGGATTCAGCTCAGCATAGTGATCATGTGAAAAAGGAAGAGTCAGGACTCTTTGGCATGGAACTAGCCATTCCCAGGACTAAGACTGACAGTTTTACTCTATGTTCATCCTGGTGTATTAAGACCTGTTTATATGGTTTTTATATTTATATTTTTATATTGTTTCTGAGTAAGCCCTGTGGTTGGTCACCATCATTTATATGGTGCAATTAATTCTAGGATTGCAACAAACTGTGCTATGTTCTTTGCTTATTTTATTAAAGGTAGGGATTGTTATCTGCTCATTTAGTAAAGAAAGATCCCAAATGCTTATTTAATTACTCCTTGCCAGAGAGAATTTCAGGGCTGCTGGGTCTGTTCTATGACTTTGTTCTTCATGTGGGATGCTTCCACATAGAATTGGAACATAATTCAATTACATTTAACTATGAAGAAGCAGTGAAGCGTGTAGTAAATATTATTGTTGCATTAGCATTAAATTTAATAAGT